GATATTGAATATAGAGAAGGAAAATTTCATGGAAATGTCGACGGATTGAGCCGAAGACCCTACAAAAATGACTGCAGACATTGCCGCAAGAGAGAGGTTGAACTAACCAGGTGCCATCAGGCTGAAGTCAAGGTGACTGAAAGAGTTGATGATGGTGAAGCGGAACCAAATATAGATATCAAAGCAGAACAGGAGAAAGACCAAGATTTGAAGCCAATAATTGATTTTCTAAAAGCAAGTGTTTTGTGCCTTGCTTGGGAGAAAAATAGTGCTTTGTCACAGGGCTTAGACTAGACACGGGCGCAATGGGACCAGTTAAAGCTTGAAGATGGTATTCTTCTATGGAGATGGGAAACTACAGATGGGAAAGTGGCGACTTGGCAAACAGTTATACTGAGGAAGTTATGGGAAGTTGTGCTACGTCAGTCCCATGATAATTTAACAGAAGAACATCTCGGAATTAAGAGGACATTGAGTCACCTACGACAAAGATTTTACTGGATAGGTATGAGGCGAGATATGGACGAATGGTGCAGGACATGCGGTGCATGTAGTGCAAAACGGGGACCCAAGCATAAGGGATGCTCATCTTATGAAGAGTTGCCTGAGAATGTGTCAGAGTTTGTGAAAGTGTTATCGGAAAGGATGGATGATATTCACCATCAAGTGCATTCAAACTTGAAAACATCTGCTAATTCGATGAAGCTATCTTATGATAAGAGATCTACTGAAGTCAGCCTTGAACCAGGAGACAAGGTGTGGTTGTATAATCCCAGGAAGACGAAAGGGAAGTCTTCTAAGTTGTCTTCTCCATGGGAAGGCCCATATGACATAGTGGATCGTCTCTCAGACGTGACTTTCCGGGTAACATGTGGTCGGCGAGGTAAGCCAAAAGTGGTGCATGCCAACAGGCTTTGGCGTTATCACGGTCCAGGATATTTCAGTTGGGACGAACTGGACAACAGAACAAATGACGCTGCTGAAGACGTGCCACCTGAAGAAGCCATTGTCGAAGAAGAAACTCTACTGAGCTCTTGATGAAGTTACTACCACTGA